ATCTGTCAATTGTATTACCCATTACTATTAAATCTTTTGTAAGTTTGCTGTGAATTGGGCGATATAATAGATTGTTGTGCTGAATTGAGATTAAGATTGAATTGAGTATTGTGGTGTTGTCATGATTACCAAAATCAAGGTTAACTGCAGTAATTTTCTGATGGTTAGCATTATCATTCCAATTTTTCATTATCATTGAAACCATTACTGATTATTCAGACTTTGAAAAGTAATAGTAAATACTGGAACATTGTCTCACACACACACGCACGCACGCACGCACGCACGCACGCACGCACGCACGCACGCACACACACACACACACACACACACACACACACACACACACACACACACAGTTAAATATGCTATTATATATTATTCAATATAAATATGTATTCCTTTCAATTTTAATGTGGCAATTATTGTAGATATTTTTGACAACGCACACAAACCTTTTTGGCTTTTATAAAGCAGCTTTAAGCAGTTTTTAGAAAAGCAAGATAAACATGGATGTCTGTGAGGTAGTTTTCCCAGAACAGGTTTGGTAAACAATACCTTAATTAGGAAAATCAGATCACACACAGGTTTGTTTCACTATTTCAGTGAGAAAAATACATATCTATTGTTTTTATTTCAGGTTAATGGCACTGTCTATGGCCTATAGCCATACAGCTAAATCCAACCCTCACAGAAACAAGTGGCAAAGGTTAGATACTAATACAGTTTTTTACAATTGCTGTGACACTTTTAACAATACATTTAACAAGTTTCCTAAACTCTTAACACAGTTAGCACAACATCCGTCTTCGTGGGCTATACAATTAACACATTTCTTGTTGTTTTGACACAAAATGCATCCAGTTAACACAAATTTAAAATGCTTGAACTTCTTTTACACACAAGCACAACCAAGAACAAAACAATGTAATTTTACAGTCAAATTTACAAATGCTTTAACACAGTATGTCAGAACAGATAACACCATGTTCTAAACAGAAATTATATAGGATAAAGTCAAAGTGAACAGCTGTTCTAATTGTGAATTGAAACACAAATATATTCCCTGTATTTTATTCAATTGCCAATGAGAAACATCATATTGCGGTTATATAAATAAATAAATAAATAAATAAATAAATGTATATGTATATATATATATATATATATATATATATCTTTATTTATTTATATAACCGCAATATGCTATTTCTCATTGGCAACTGACAAAAAAAAACATATATATATATATATATATATATATATAACTGCAATATGAGTCTCTATATATATATATGACAGCTGATTCCCATCTAGAAAGCACACTCATGTCTTGTTTTGGTTTTTCCAATCACATGATCATATGTTCTAATAGAGGACTCTTGAGGTTTTTGAAAGGAACATCAAAGAATTCTGTCACCAATACGTCCATGTAAGATTATGCGTTACAGTCATTACTGTACTATACACTGTGTTTTGCAGTAAACTACTCTTTTAAACCTGGAGTTCATTAGTACATACAGTACATATACAGTACAGCATTTGCATACACTGTGTCTAATTACTTTTAGAGAGTCATGAAGTTAAAGGCCAATCAAGAACCACATGAAATTTTCAATTTTGACAAGGCTGGGGATGTCGCCGTAGGAAAAACATAATAGGCCAAAGGGCCACAGTTACCGTGCCGGGCCACAGAAGATATCAAGTATAATGTGGATGAGAACATGTGGCAAAAGACCGGGCAGTATAGAAGATTACTTTGTTATTTTATTATAATTGTGGTGCTTTTTCTGTTTGCAGTGATGTCCTTCTGCAAAAAAGGTCTGTAATGCAGAAATTCTGTGTCTGTATTTTTTTTTACATAAATTTTACTTTTACGTAATTTTTATTTTTAATTTACGTAAATTTTATAAAGCAATTTTTTTTCTTCGTTTTGTATAGAATTTTTGCCGTAAACGAAAGAAAATGCATGCATTTACTTAACCCAACGAAACAAAACTGTAACGAGACTTCAAATATAAGGGCAGAGCTGACACATAAACTATTGCAGTTTCTGTAATGTCAGCTGATGATAGTGTTTTTATTGTCTGTGTGTTCTGATTGACTGAATGTTTATGTTGGAAGAGAACATGTGTTTGTGTTTTGAACAATTATTTCATTTTGAAACATGATTGCAGGGTTTTGTTAGACATGGTGTAGTGTGTTCGTTTATTATTGTATTTTGAAAAGAAGTTTAGAGGTTTAGTTTATAATGTGTGATTTTGAGCATAAAATTAACTGTTTTGCCAATTGTGTATTTTAGGTGTGTTGCTGCGTTAAGAGTTTAGCAAACTTGTTAAATGTATTGAAAAAACTGTCATAGCCATTGTAAAAAACTGTAAAAACATATTCTGGACAATTTATAAGCTCTTTAAATTAGTGACGATCAATGAAATGTACTCACTAGTGGATTGTTTTGATATTTCACTATATGTGAGGACAACAGAGGACACACACTCATAAAAAAATATTCATAAAATAATACAAACATAAGCAAACATATATCCAAAATGCACAGATCCTTGTTCATAATGTTTGCCACAAAATTGCATAAAGCTGCAATTTTTACTTGTTGTTTCTTCATTTGCAGGTACAAAACTTGGTTGGAATGCCTTAAGTGTGTGTTATATTCATTTTGGAAGATATTACTGTAGCACTGTTACCATGACTAAGCAATATATATATATATATATATATATATATATATATATATATATATATATATATATATATATATATATATTTGAATGATGACATTTTTGATGTCACTGATATGTTTGTTGACATAAATATTAACTTTTGACAGATTTTGAGTACTTTGCTGACTTTTACTCGTAATCCATTGTGTTTTGCTGTTTGTACAAATTGATTGGACAAACTTTTTTTTTTGCAAATATTAAAGATGATTGGAGAGACAAAGCAAAAGAGAAAGCCTTCGACTGTAAAGCATATTGTGTAGACAGACAACACGAAAGTTACAAAGTCTGACAATGGATGTATATACAGGAAATAAGTGTCAACAGCTGAAAGGAAAATAAAAAGGTGTAAAAACAGGAGGTGAAAGGCTATGTTGTCAGTCATGGCCTTACAATGGCAGAGGTTGTGATGTAGATGACAATTAGTGACCCGACAGACTGGGATTTGAAAGGGTATATAGACAGACTGCATTGCAATTCCTCAAACATGTATAGAAGTAAACTGTCTAATGGGTGTTTGTGTAATGCAAATGTAACTCTCAATCTTACCCAGTCTCTTACAAACAACATCCCACCTTCAGTAATATGCTGTATATTTGTAGGTTTGAAATGAACAGTTAATGAACAGTTAATCCCCCCCACCCCCCTTTGAATTTGTTTTTCTTTTTTTAAATGTTTCCCAAATTATGTTTACCAAACCAATGAAATTTACACAGTATGTCTAATAATATTTTTTCTTCTAAAGAAAGTCTTATTTATTTTGTTTTGGCTAGAATAAAATAAGTTTTACATTTTTAAAACCATTTTAAGGTCAAAATTATTAGCCCCTTTAAGGTATATTTTGTTTTAGATTGTCTACGGAACAAACCATACTCATACAATAACTTGCCTTATTAGCCTAACCTAATTAACCTTAAGCCTTTAAATGTCACTTTAAGTTGTATAAAAGTGTCTTGAAAAATATCTAGTAAAATATTATTTACTATAGTCATCATGGCAAAGATAAAACAAATCAGTTATTAGATATAGGTTATTAAAACTATTATGTTTAGAAATGTGTTGATATTTTTTTCTCTCCGTTAAACAGAAATTGGGGGAAAAACAATACTAACAAACAAAACTAATAAATCAGGGGGGCTTCAACAATATGTCTTATAGGTCATACGTTTACATCAGTAACTGGCTTTTCTTAAGTCACTTTGGGGCATTTCTCAAAACATCATTAATACTTGCAAATAATTATGTGCATTTGTAAAACACTTTGTATAAACAACAACATATAATACATGCAAAAGCCTGAAACTCACTCAACAATGAGTTGCACTTCTTACAGTATGTGCTGTATGCCATAATGTATATCCATAGTAAATATTTGCATAACTATGTGAGTTATTGACTTAAATAGACTGGAAATGATTGTCATAATACAATATCATTTTAATACTGAACAGAAAAAAGAACTATGAGCACAAAGGCAAAACTAACAAAGAGATAACTAACAAAGCTTACAGTTATATTGATAACATCACTAAGGATTTAGACTATTTTGTTTGTGAACAATGACACAGTGGCTTTTCATTTTTAAGACACTGATTATTGCCATAATATGTTTGAGAGGTGAATTAAGGATTTCTAGTGAGTAACTGTAGAAGGTTATTCATTGTGTTGTGCTAATTGTATGTAAAAAATTATTTTAAAGAATGTGAAAACTGGTCAAAATACACTGGCATTACCTGTACAACTTTTTCATACTTACATCCCCATTTATCTTCATGATGTTGTGTATGTACAGCCAGCATTTTATTAGTGTTTTAAGCATTTTTTTTTTTTTTTTTGCATTTTGTGTTTATGTCTAATAAAATAAATAAATCATATAAAAAGAGAAAATTGAATCCGCTTTAAGCTACATATTACATTATAGTACCTGTTTTTCTTTTTGTAGATCTCGAAACCGTACAACAGAGGTGCAAGGCAAAAATAGTCCTGCAATTTAGCAGCACACAACCTCTTTACACTCATTATAAGAGTCTGCTGAGTGAAACCAAAACCCGCCTTTGTATACCGGTAACAATTGTCCTGTTCGTAAGAAATTCCTAATCCGAAAAAACCCGGCAATCCATGACGAGATTTTCCGAGCGCACCATCTGCTGTTTGTGATTTGCAGCGGCACCACATTGAATGAAGCCCGCGCACTAGTTTATACCCGTGTATATCCAGCCCGCGCGCTCCATATACGCGGAGGGATTCTTGTCGTGTGTGCTGCGGCTCTTGTCACTCATTCGCTGTGCTGCTCGGAGCGCATTCAGTGTCAGCGGCTGAGGACCAATTCATGATATCACAGCGACCTGAAACAGGGACAAAGCATCGTAGTCATTTAGATTATAACTGAACCAACTCTACCTATTCTACACGGAGCATACCTTTGGAAGAGATTGCAATGCTTCAGATACGGGATCTCATTTGGACATTGCTTTTCCTTGGTTATGCAGGTAAGATGCACTTGTATCAGTTGCACTGTATCCTTTCGCATCCTTGTTTTTCCCCCTCCGCTGTCCTGGTGCGGTGTCTCCTTAGCACAGGAGCTGTTATTGAGATGAGGATGCGATGTAGTTCGGTCTGGTTCATTCAGTGATGCTGTTTTCTTCGGTTTTAACATTCAGCCTGAACAAACTCTGTTATTAGCATCCCTGCCAAACTGGCACATGTTGCCAAACTGGCATTACTTGTGTGGGATATGAAGTCTCGCGTCTCTCTGCGTTTTAAAAAAACGTACTTTTCCGAATGAGTCTTGCCTATTTAAGTGCGTTGTTTGTATATGGTTGTGTGGACATGACTGCGCATTGGCTCCTTTGAGATTTGTGTTATAGGAGGCAGAACAAACAACCAGATGGTGTGTTTGTGTAAACATATCACAAACTAAGCCGTCACAATAGCCAGCCAAAGTTTATTGTGAGGTATTTATTTATACCGTGTGTTTTCAACCGTGTGTTCATTCGGGATGGTGGCGGCCGGTGGTGTTGATGCGCGCTCGCGGCTGGAACCTCTCTGTTACCCTTGGATGAGTTTATCCTTGATATTATTAGACGGAGAGTTCAAGAAACGAAATAATGGCATTTATGCACCCTTGTGTTGTTTCAAAGCTCCACGACTTACTTTCTTCCTTTAGTAAAACACAGACGGAGACGTGACAGACTCCGTCCCCGTTCGCTTTTATGGTATGGTAGGACATGCAATGTTAAGTGAATGGTGACTGAGGCTGTCAGTTCCCAACATATCCCTTTGGACCTTGCCGATTTTAAAAAAGAAAGTAAGTTAACGAGTTGGTAATTAAATGAGGGTGAGTAAAAGATGGACTGTCTCTTTAAAGGCTGAAGTTAGACTTCTCATGCATGTATAATGAATGTCCAGGCTGTTTATAAGCAAGCCAGTCAACCAATTAGAGAACTAAGTGAACGCGTAATGTTAAAGCGCGAAGTATAAATAACAATGATGAATGGGATGATTCCCAAAAATGATGCAGTTGATTGTGTTTCGAATGCATGGATGATGGTTTCTAGCCAATCAGAGGGTAAAGCTTGGGCGGGAATGAATTATATTCTGTCACCCCCTTCCCCCCTTTCCTTCTCCCCCCTCTCTCATGGCAAAGCAGATTTACATTTTCTAAGCATTAACATTATACACCTACATAATTGCACATATATGCACAACGCATAGTAGAAAAATAATGCAGGTTAACATTTATACTAATTATGTAAATATTTAAGTATTTGATTTGATCAAAATCAGTTGTTTTTGTAAGCAATGTAGTCTTTTTTTGGGAAGGGGGGTGGGCCAGCTATTATTATTATTATTATTATTATTATTGTTATACAAATATTGGAATAATATGATCAACATGCAAAAAGAAAGCAATTTTCTGCCTTTTTGCCTTCAGTTATGAAGAATCTAAAATTTGTAATTCAAAACTTCAAAATTTGACCAAGTTCAGTAAATTCTTTCGCAGGATATATAACATGTCATATTTCACCAGCACTTTTACAATGAAACTGAATTTACGTTCAAACTGATGCTTCTACACTCAGTAAAATCCTCCTTCTTTGATTTGGTTAGCCATTTCTTTTATTTAATGTGTCCAATTATTGACTATACACCTCAGAATCAAAACACCACATTGCTGTTATATCAGATATGGGATTTATATTGGATACAGACATGAAATAGTGTGCAATATATACATATTATGAGTATAATATGTACAAGTGCATGGTGAAATGGAGTGGGGGTTGCACCGTGCGTGCTGTTAGTGTTATAAGCGGTTATGATTTGTATGCGTGATGCGTAGGAATGATGCTATTTTCCAGTTGGTGGTCATGTCCCACTGGTTGCCCTTTTGTCGTGGCAGGACATCACAAACCACCCAGCAGGTCTGAGCAGGTTTGAGGCTCCATGTAGCAGGTGTGGGAGTTTGTCCTGGTGTGTTTAATTTGTGTGTAATTAGGGCAGGATGTTAAAAAGTGCAGGCTGCTATGCTATACATGGCCGTACTCTCATTTCTCAGAGCGGTGTCCTATTTAAAGAATCATTAATGCCTTGAGTGTTTTTGCTTTTATATGCATGTGTGGGTTTAAACAATGCTTTTGAGGTGTAACTGTACTGAACACCTGCATCTGTCATTCTCTCTCTTTCTCTCTCTCTCTCTCTCTCATCGTTTCTTATCTTTAACTATCAGTAAGTGGTTGTTGTAGTGTAGAGGCACCTACTGCTATATGGTGCTGACATGTTGATGTTGACAGAGTGCTTGCTTATGTGTGTGCTGAATACAGATAAATACCCACAGACCCACATCACAAATAAATGTTACTTCAGGCTGTGCTTCAATGTATTAAAAGTACAAAGAGCCAAATAGGGAGTCTTAAACATCCGCCTCTGAAGGTCTTTAAAATAGGAATAAAAGAAGTTTAGTGCAAGCTTTAAATATTGTATGTGTGTCCCTGACCTCAAGAGGATGGCAAAGTCAAAGATTAGTTAACACTTGAAGGAAAAGAAAGAAACTATTGCAAGATGGTGAACATCTGGAACTCCTCCTGCTGTGCCAAGTTCAAAGTGGGTTTGGAAGATCTACTTCATCCATCTTTTGACTGAGATCCAGTAACCATGGAAATAGACTATATGTATTCTGTATTCATCTGTTACCTTGAATGATGATAGAGCATTATTTCACCCATTGTAAAAACTTAACAGTCAACTTTATCAAGTGAACTGAATGTAGTTAACTAAAAAAATTACTGAAAGTTAATTCTACTCATTTGAAAAGAGTTTTGAACTCAGTGTTGAAGGTAATGAGTTAATTAAATACCTCTTTACTTTAATTTCAATGGAGTAAGTTCACAGTACTCATAGATTAGTGTTTTAATTCAAATGGTTTGTAGCAATCGGTTTCCTCAACTGGTTTGAGTTGCCTTAACTTATTGGGTTTTATAGTACTCAGTTGGTTTGTTCTTTTTATTTATTGGGTTTAACTGTGCTGAAATTGCTTTGTTTACTCAAATGGATTAATTTCACAGTACTCATTAGCATTTCTCAAATATAAAATTGAATTGGATTTAGATAGGAGTTGGATTGAAATGAAATGGTCTTAGGTCTTTGCTAATCATTTGTTGCTTCTTTTTCAATTGCAAACAATCATATTAAGTTCATTTCATGTTACAGTTGTTGACATTTAAAATCTGAACTCGACATTTAATCACAGTCTCTGTACTTCAGGTGCAGCTTTTGGATCTACTTTTACCATTCATGCTTCCCAGCAGACACACAACGTCATAAGACATTAATATTAGGTTAGATTTAGGAAGTCAGCGTATAAGGACAATGTTAATTTGACGTCCAGTATTGATGTTAAATGACGTTGAAATTTTGTTGATTTTAAGTTGTGTTGAAAAGTGATTTCATCAGCATGGCTCACTCCACACTTTAAGCTAGCCTTTACTTGGATGGAGGAAAGGAGGGAGGGTGGGTTCAAAGAACAAGAAGAACAGTGCTAGAGGGATGGTCTTCCTTAAATAAGTTTAAGTGAGTAGGTGATTGGTTAAAGAGACAAAGTAAGGCGTGGTTCCGCCGCTGAACCTTTATTAACAAGTTAACTCCATCAAAATCGTTGAGCCAGGGCTGGGCAATCTGGCCTAAAAAAATTTCACGACTAATTTTTTGAAAACAAAATTCAAATCAAATTGATTAATCGCCCAGCCCTACGTCGAGCCAACATCTTAAACCAATGTCATATTGGCGTCAAATACTGACATTTAATCATCAGGTATGGCCAACAAAATCCATATAGATATACGTATCTATATGTATACGTATACCTATAAGAGATGGCATATAGGTAACGTACACACAATGTCAAGCTTTAACAACCTTAGACGTTGATATTTTGTTGTTTTTAGGTTGCATTGGAAAGTAACTAACATGCAACGTCTGTTTGACGTTGAGTTATGACATCAACCTAATTTTAATATCTAAACAAAAAGCATGACTTTGGGGTACAACATCAGTCTGTTGACATTGACATGTTGCAATCATGTTGACATTTTGTGCCTGCTGGGTTTTGTGTTTTAAGATGAGAAAATGTCATGGTGTTCAGTTTGATGCTTGATTTATTAGATTTGTTTTCTTACTTTTTATGTGATTCACACAGACAGACTCTAATTAAATCAGTTGATTTCAACTCAAGGACATTTCTTTTTTATGACACAGAAATGAATGACAGGCTATCTACATTTCGCTGTGATCTACATGTACGTATGCCTGCTGGGGTCTAATATGCTATGCTAATAAAATTAAATGAATTTTCAAATATCTCATTAAAATTGACCTGAGATTTTATCCTTACTGAAAAATTCACCTCTGAACTTCTCCTTTTGGGGTAAAAAAAGATTCAATAGTCTTTCTGTATAGATGTTACAGAGTGAATTTTATAACAGTATAGCTTTAAGAAGGCCAAGGCCAATGAAAACACAAATGTCAGATCAGAACTGAAAGGAATAGTGATCTGGTGGAGAGATTTGCCCCCATGCTGCAGGATCCTTGGATGTTTCTGGAGATAAAAACATTTGAATGCTTTCATTCTGCACTGTTCACACTGTGACTGCTTCTTGTAAAAATGTATTAATTTTAGTTTGTGCAAGCTGACTGAAATCTTATAGTCTCAAATGTTCTCCAGTTGTTTTCCATTTTGTGCTTTTTTTGATAAAGATGGGCCGTCTTTGCATATTAATCACTTTCTGAAAAGGGGCTCAGACTGATTTGCATTGTGTAAGCTTCGAAGGCGTCCTGTAGAGTGTTGGAGGAAAAAAAAAGGAGGGAAATGGGTTTGGTTTTGTCATGCTGAAAAGCCACCCCCTGATCCTTGCAGCCCATCTCTGAAAGGGTTTCTCCTTATTCAAGTAGAAGGGCCTTCTAAAGTCGCAGGCCGAGAGGCAACTTCGAGGAG